CCAAAACCCATGTAAATGCCCGGTGGGCATGGAGGCCCACCTGTAACTCAAGTTCTCAGAAGGTAGAGCGGGATTCCCCTGAGAAAGCTGGCTAGCTAAATGAGCAAAATTTACCTGTTTTGGGTTCAAACAAGAACCCCTGTTTCAATAATAGACTGGAAAGTAATTGAGAAAGACACATAGAGTCAAACTTAGGCCTCTTTATGCCTGCATACACTGATAACCACACACTCTAACATACTTACATGCACACACACTACATATACACACATATGAGGAAAAACAAGATTGATCACTAAATAAAAACCGTGTGAGATTCTAACTTCAGTACACATGACGTTTGCTGGAATACGTGTATTTGCTTACCCGTGTCCACGGGGTCTTCACTCAACAGAGGGTTCTGTAGTGGAAGCCCGATGCTTGCTGTTTGCACCTCTGTCGGAGTTTGCAACCCAGAGGTTAAAACCACCATATGCACGTTTATATCATTCTAATAATAAGTACTGGGTTGTTCGACTGTAAAGCAGAAATGTAAACTACGACAGGAAAATGTTGAGAGAACATTTGTTCTTGCAGAGTTTATATTTTTCACTAGAGTGGCTCTGTGAGATCAGACAGTAGTCTTAATGGTGGCAAAATTTCTCCACCCAGTAAGGTTCCTGTACTTTCTGAATCCCAAAACTGGGCTGAGAAGACTGGGGAGTCTGAGTGGGGCAAGGGAATGGTTTCTGAGACAGTCTCAGACACAGCGCTAAGACATCCACAAGTCAGATGGAGACTTTCAGCTATGAGGGTCATACAGGGTAGCAGACACTCAGTCTTGATGAGAGGGTATTTTAACTGGGTTAAAAATACTAGAAAGGAGCTGGGCCCTGTGGCCTGTAATCCCAGCACTTAGGGAGGCAGTCTGGTTTACAAAGTGAGTCCAGGAGAGCCAAGGCTATACAGAGAAATCCTGTCTTAAAAAACAGAACAACAACAAAAAAACAAAAACAAACAACAAACCCAAAAAAGAAAAAAAGAAAAAAAAAAAAACAACCAACAACAAACAAAGTAAAACAAAACAAGAAAGAACTGGCAGATGGCTCAGTGGGGAAAGGAGCTTGTCAGACAAACCTGATGACTTCGGTCAAATCCCTGGAACTGAGCCTGGAACCCACATAAAAATGAAAGGCGGCCAGTGAGATGGTCTGGCAATCAGAGTCACTCCTTGGCTAAGCTCAAACCCCGGGACAGACATGATGGGAGGAGACTCAACGTCAGCAACCAGTCTTGCTGACATCCCCATGCACACTGAAGCCCACTCACCCACAGGCATACAGAGGTGCACATGCGCGCACACACACACGCACACACAATTTAAGTGGAAGGACACTGATTCCACCAAGTTGTCTTCTGACTGCCACATGTGTGCCATGCCTGAGCATGCCCCCAACATATATACACATAATAATAAACAAAATTTAAAAAACTAATAGTTGGAACCTTAGAGGTTTAAAAAATGAGTTATTGAGGCCAAATATGTTGGCATATGCCTGTAATTCCAGCACCTGGAAGGTGAAGACTAAAGGATCTTGCATTTGAGGCCAACCACATATCAAACTTCAGGCCAGCATGAGGTACACAGCATAGCACCGTCTCAAATAACAAAAGCCGAAGAATATTAAAGTGTTCTAGGTTGTGAGTGTGGAGCTAAAGGGGTTTGAACAATCAAGTTTCCTCAGTGGGGCATTCTCATACTGTGAAAATTAACATTTTGACATGTGGTGCTTTCAAAATCCAAATCAACTCCCCCAATGGGCGAATGTTAAAAAATTAAAATGTTAGGCTGGGAGATGGTGGCACATGCCTTTTAATCCCAGCACCCGGGAGGCAGAGGCAGGAGGATCTCTGGGAGTTCAGGGCCAGCATGGTCTACAAAGTAAGTCCAGGACAGCCTAAGGCTACAAAGAAACCCTGTCTCAAAAACCAAAAACCAAAATCAAAATCAACCAACCAAATTATGAAAAAGCATGATAACAAGACTAGGCTATTTACTGGTCTGTCTGTCTGCACTGAAGACTGAGCTCAGGGCCTTACACATGCAAAGAACGTGTTCTACCACTGAGCCGTTCATCTGACATACACATTTTAAAGATTTGCATAATGACCTGTGAGTTCTTCCTTTGTAGATCTGACCAAGCCTATATCAAAGAATATTTGCTTTTCCAGGAAGTTGCAAAAAAGTGTAACACGAATTTATTATGACCTGCCAAGTATTACAAGAATCCAGGAGAATAAGGTCTAGGCATATCCTGATGTCCTCCCCAAGCCTTCCCAGACCTGCATTGTCTTGAGCATTCGCTTGAGTGGCTTGCTTGCTTCTCATCCATAGCTAGCTGGTTTCAGTATGGCTGTATTTGTTCTGAACACATACAGATGTTCTGTCATCCTTCCATAAGCAACATATTATAACAACTCCCTACATGGTCATTACACAGTGAAATGCATTGTATGCAATAGGTAGATATTAGAACTGAACCAGAGACGGGTTGAAGTATATGGGATGTGCATGGGTTATATACAGATGTTATATATGTGTGCATATATATATACACGTGTATACACACACACAGGAGCATCTGAGGACTTTGGTATTCAAGCAAGTTCTTGGAAGCAACTACCCAAAGACACAGAAAAACAACTGAACATTTTAAAGAGGCTTTTGTATTGACTTACTTACACTCATACATTTCAAAGGGAGGCATCAAAGGTAATCTTATCTTCATTCTAAGAGCATGTTTAGAAAAACGTTGTGCTCGATCACCTGTTTCTTCCTTGCTGCTCCGTATTGCACCATCTTCCTGTAGGTCGGGATGGTTCTCACTTCATTTAGGATTGGCTCATCAGTGTATTCTCTTTTGGCTCCTTGAAGTTGGCTGATGTAAAAATATGTACCAAAAGACGTCCACAATCCCTCTACCTTTCAGTTTTTAGGTCACTTCAGAAATGGCTATGTGCTACCCAAACGTCTCATATCACAGCCCACTCTTACTCTGGTATTTGTTATCCCTACATGATGAGAAATTTTTTGGTTGAATGTTTAAGAGGATAATATAATGGCACAAAGCAAGGACGCCTGAGCCACTAAGGGTGGCTCGTTACGGTGAGTAAGGACAACAATCCTTCAAAGTGACAGTTCTTTTTAGAATGCCTTATTGCTCATTAAAACATCCTAACAAATGGCCTCAGAACTACCCACAAGACGATGGAACCGGTATCCAGTGAAAAGTTTTCTTTTGATCTTTTGGTTCCTAACTCTCATTTTTTTTTCTTAGTATTCTTAGAGCTCGCATTTTTGGAGCAATTTGTCAGAGAAGAATCCTCTTAATATATCTGCCTATACTAACTAGTTCCTAAAGTGTATGTAAAACAAGGGAACACACCTACACACCTGCAGGTTGATGAGCAAAGCTCACCACACCACCTCAGCTGAAAGACAGATGAGGGCAGCCAGGCTGTACAGTGTGGGTCATTCACCAACAGAGACAAACGGGCAGGTGACCTCTCTGACTTCCTGTGAGTCAAAGACACTTATCTGAAAAGAAAAAGATTAGTTTAGAAATGGCGGCTTGAGCCTTTATCCTTTAATCCTAGCACTCAGGAGGTGGACCTATAAGTTCAAAGTCACCCTGGTTGACAAGGGAATTCCAGGCCAGTCAAAGTACACAGGTGAGACCTTGTCTCAAAACCCCATACATACATACATAACACACATACATTAACAAGATTCAGGATAAAAAAGTTTAAATAATAAAGCCAGCAGTTTCCACACACTCACCTTAATCACCTTCAAGATAAGGTTTATCTGTGTAGTCTGACCTGGAACTCAAGAGATCTGCCTGCCTCTGCCTCCTGAGTGTTGGGATTAAAGGCATGCATCATAACACCTGGCTACTTTTTCTCCTGACAAATTGCTTTTTTTCCTGTTTCTCACAAACACAGCTATCAATAAGGCATATTTATTTGAAACAATATTTGAGTCAAAACAAAACATGGAAGGAAAGAAATTGCTATCTTTGGAAAGTGTATAGCTGAGATCAATTTATTTGGTACATGGAAAATTCTCAGAAAACAATTAAAATTAAAGGCCTAAGAGATAGTTCAGCAGGCAAAGGCTCCTACTTACCAAGCCTGATAGCCTGAGTTCTTTTTTGTCTTTTTTTTTTTCCAGAGATGAGGACCGAACCCAGGGCAAGCGCTCTGCCACTGAGCTAAATCCTCAACCCCTGAGTTCTATTGGCAAGACCCACACTGTACCAGACAACCGACTTCTCTAACCTGTGTCTGATCTCCACATACATGCCATGGCACACACAGGCCTACATATGCACAGATACACAAGATCAAAATAATGTAATAAAAAGAAATTTAAGGAAAATAATAAAAATGAGGTATCACCACATTTTTCTTTTTCTTCAAGTTTAGAATGAAAATGGGAAGAGGAAAAGAGACAGGGAAATAAACAAGTAAGCACATTTATAGCTGCTAAGTTGTTATTACTGTTCATGAAGTGTGATCTTGTGAGAAAATATTCTCAGAACAGCAGAGGGAAGAACCATCATGCCAAAAAAGATGAACATGTGAGCCACACAAACCACAGCAGCAGGGCAGAGTCACACCTGGCCTTCTCTGAGGACAGTCACAACTCTAAACATCTTTTCTACTGAGTATTACTTTTTTTTAAAATATTTATTTATTTATTATGTATACAATGTTGTGTTTGCATGTACATCTGCGCACCGGAAGAGGACACCAGATTTCATTGCTGGGAATTGAACTCAAGACCTCTGGAAGAGCAGCCAGTGCTCTTAAACTCTGAGCCATCTCTCCAGCCCTGTGTATTACTTTTTTGTATAAAAAAATAATTTCTAAACTTCTTAGTTTCTTAACGTAGCAATCACAGGAGCTGACTCAAATCTGGACAGAGATATTTACATTATAAGACAAAAAACTCAAGATCACAGTACACAGCAGTTATTTATTTAAACACTTGAAAAGGTCAATGATGGAAAAAATAGGTTTATTGTGATAGTTTATATCCATTAGATTTATTTTACCATTAAAAAAGTGTTGCCTCTAGATTATCCTGGCCAGATACAGAACACTTGACGACACATGCAGCTATGGCGATATGCTACGACAGACCATTACAGGACGGTTTCCCTTGGCGTGAGTCAGCAGTGGTCAGGGTGGCTTGTTTATTGTAACTAAAAACATTGATAATATACAAATTGTTCTCCCCATTTGATTGAAAGGGCTATAAAATCCCACACACTTGACAAAGAAGCAATGTAGTGACATAGGTAACACCTCTGCTACCTGCTTTCTGCCTCAGGTCCTCAGCCACACACTCAGGTACACAACTTTCTAGATTTCACAATGGCTTCGATGCTGGCCTACCATAAGTGATGGAAATGAAGCGGTTTTACAAAGCTGACCTTGATTTCTGTGTGATCTTAAAAATGGAGAGAAAAGGCTATGGAAGCCAAAGGATCGTTCTGAGTCAACATGAAGTAAATGTCATCCATGAGTGAACGTAATCTCTGGGGTGACTGAAACCTAGCAGAGTGAGCCAAGTGAACACTATAACACTAATGTAGAAATGTCTGGAAACACCGTTTCTAGAATTCAGCTTGGGAGACCACATCTTGCTTGAATATATACATTATTTACAAAATATTCCCTTTTGGCCTCTGAAATTTAGCCACTTAAGTTTGGCTACTAAGGTGTTTTCTTTCCACATGCTAGCAAATACTGCAGTCATTACTATCAGTAAAATACTCTTATGCATGAATTACAAATATTAATAAAGTAACTCTGCATGTATAAATATCTCAATTATTTCTAGCAGAATTTAAAGCATTCAGAATGTACATAAATGTATTTGTTTTTGGTAGGCCGGTTATTTTTTTTTAATCATCGCTGTTTCAACAATGCTTTGTACATAGCAAAGCCCAAAACTGCAAAAACAGTAGCACCAAAACTCGCTCGAAGCCAGAACGTGGAGCTCTTGAGGTCAGCTTGTGTCACGTGCCTGCAGTCAGAAAACAGAATATTTAAAACATTATTAGTAGGAAAATTTTACTGCACCACCTAACAGTCTACCTGGGGAAGTATTGGCACACTTGTCAGGCTAATTGCATACAGTAATGCTTACCCAAAGCAGTGACCAATATGGCTATCCACGAAGTAAAGACATCAGGGAAGACAAAGGTCTTTACAATCAGCTACTACTTGGAAGTTGCTATATAAAATTTTACACAATTTTGTCACATGGAAAATGAAGTTGGATAAATCAGCTGAATACTTTTTAATGTCACCATAGTCCTTCAGAATGAGAATTAGGCTAGAGCCTCACAATTTTGAGGGTCACATTCTTGGAATGTGAGTAAGAGAAAGTCTTCTGTCTTCAGAAATCAGAAGCTATCTTGTAAGCAGTTAATTGACAAGTGACAATACGGTCTCAAGAGCAATGCTTAGTATGAAAAATTGATATAAAATTTACCCCCTCTAAAAAACTCCAAAGAGGAAGTGAAGGTTGACCAGTTGGCATTAGTTTAGTTACTGCTAATTAAAGAGGAAAAACAAAAACAAAAAATCCAAAACTGAAACCAACAAACCTTGATGTTAGTTAGACAGGCAGTGATAATGACACCAAATAATGGCCATGATGTAATGTGATGTATTAAAAGGTAATGACACAAAAGAAGCTATATTATACACGACAAGAACAGGGACAGCCTGTGCCACAAACTGAGGTGGTGAGCATGCTCAGTTAATAATGCTGCTATGCACCCTCAGGCATCTCGAGTATGACAGCTTACCACGAAGAGGACAGAGCTTAAAGCAAAGGTCGGGACACTGTATTTAAGTGTCAGTGAAGAGAGTCAGGAGGCACTCTCAGTTAAGTGGGCACAACTGCGGTGCTATGAGAATTTCCCAGAATTAAGAGCTCAGTGAGTCAGTCTTGGCTGCTTTACAACTGGGCAGATTCAAAGCAAGAGTCAGATCATTAAAAGACCAAGACACTGTTATATGCAAAGGAGTTAAGAGCCAAAAGTTCAAATTGTACATAACTACTTTACCTTAGTCATAGATACAGAATGTTTAGATTAGTTCTCACAAGATGCGATCTGTTCTTCCCTAGAAGCCACTGTACCACAAGCCAGAGCTGCGTGCTTCTCAGCACACCAAACAACACATGCACCCCACACCTCATCCACAAGTCTCTTCTCACATAATTATGCTTCACAAAGCAAAGTGCTAACACGGGTTCATTCTAAATGGTAGGTTAGTTCTTCCAGCAGGCAGAGTTTTTATTTTTTAAAAAGTCAGGGAAGAGAATATTTAGGTCTCAGTTTTTTCTAGGTGGGAAGACTCTAACAAGGCCAGCCCACTGTGGTAGGAAATGTTACCTGTCTGCAAGAAAAAGCTGACCATGAGATGACTCCATGAAGATGGAATCTTCTATAAAGCTGACGGCGTGCACCTGGTGAGTAATACTGCCTTCGTCGTCTGCTAACAGCATGGCACCCCACTCAGCTACCCGGGCTTTCAACCTTTCATACACATGCACACAGTTGACAGTTCACAGCAGAGCTCACGAGAGAACAGAACTCAAAATAACATCTCTCAATTAAACATCCTACGTATATTTTGGGTTGCTTTTCTATCAAATTGAATCTTATGCTTTCTATATTTAAAATATGTGCATCACATAGATAATTGCCGGGTTAAAAATGATCTCTACATACTCTTAAAATATTCATGCACTGAGCAAGGAAACCTGAAGCTGCTACATGCATCCCCTACTTAACCCTAGGAGGATTGCCTAAACCAGTGCCATAGCATTGCTTGACAACAACTGATAACCACAGTATCACTCAAATGAGGTTAGCAATCACGAGTCATGAAGTTGATGTGCTTAGAATTTCAGAATGTTGAAAACTAAAAGTACTATCCATGAAAACAGAAAATGACTCCAACATTCCAAACAGATCAAGGAATCATACTGGGATGAACAGTCTGTATTTCCAATAGGCAAAGAGATGACTTAAAGCAGAGGGTCTCAACTTATGTGTCATGACTCTTTAGGGGTTGAATGACATTTTTACAGGAGTCACCTAAGACTATTGGAAAACCCAGATACTTACATTACAATTCAGAACAGCAGAAAAATTAGAGTTATGATGTAGCAACGAAACTAATTTTATGGTTAAGGGTGGCCAAAACATGAGGAACTGTATTTAACGGGAGACAACCTGAACATTAGGAAGGTTGAGAGCCACTGACTTTCAAATACCACAGGCTGAGCGTATTAGCCTATTAGAGATTTTGCTTTGTGATTACTGTGGGTACACCGGGAATAACATAGGGCCTTGCACAGTCCATCACCGAGCTGAGCTATATCCCCAGTTCTACTCATTTTACTTATTTTTTTTATTTCGAGGCAGAGATTTGTGATATTGCCTAGGCTGGCCTTAAACCTGTGATCCTTACACCTCTGCCTCCCAAGAATGGGATTATGGGCAGAAGCCACTACGCCCAGACAGCCTGCTTTTGTTTAATTTTTTCCTTTTTCCTTCATAATCACATTAGTGTATGTCAGCACTGTTTCTCATGAATTTCTCCTTAAGTGAATAGGTGCTTCACAAACTTCCCTTGTTGCTGTTGTTTTAAATTTGTATTACTTGGGGGAAGGGTGAGTGCCACTGCATGCATCATGGAATCATGTTGACCTCTGACCTCTCATCTCAGCATGATTCCATTAGGCGGATCTCAGGGACTGAACTCAGGTTATCATGCTTAGTGGCAAGTGACTTTATCCTTTGAGTCATCTTGCTGGCCCCTCGTTTCTCTTTGAGACAAAGTCTAATTCTGCCTTTGTCTTCTGAATTCTGGCATTTTACATGTGTGTCTCCACAGACGGCTTCCTTTTTGTTATGTTTGTTGTTGCTGTATTTTTAAACATTTTATTAGATTTTTTTTTTTTAAACGTGTTTTGCCAGGCTGGAGAGATGGCTCAGAGGTTATGAGGACCAGCTGCTCTTCCAGAGGTCCTGAGTTCAATTCTCAGCAACCATATGATGGCTCACAACCATCTATAAGGAGATCTGGTGCCCTCTTCTGGTGTGCAGGTGTACATGCAGATAGAACATAAAAAATCTAAACAATAAAACAATAAATAAAATATCCTTAATTAGCTAATTACGTGTTAATAAGTACTTAAATAGCTACGTGTTTTGCTTGCATGTGTGTGTGTGCACTCGGTGCATGCTCGTAGCCCTTAGAGGTCAGAAGAAGAGTATCAGGGCATTGGGCTGCTTGCAACTGGAGCTGGGAGTTGGGAGCTGTCACGTGGGTACTAGCAATCAAGCGCCTTTTACCACTAAGCCAGTGGTTAAAAACAATTTTTTCCAGCCCAGCTGTTACATTTTCAGTATTACTTTGATTAGTGTTCCCCTATTATAACTTCTTAGAAAAAAACCTGGCGTTTTAATTTTCATTCTTTTCATCTTTCCATTTATCCTTTATAATTATAACTCATAGGAAAGAAATGCACTAATATAGTGGCACTCTAATTTACAACTCCATTTATGTATCTCAGGGATAAACTTTTAAGAAAACACTCTTAGACAACTGTGATGCATGAGTTCTTTGAGTTATCAGGACACACAGGTATTATACATAGCTTTTCTTTTTTTCCAAATTAGATATCTATATCCAGGTTACCAAAACTATAATTAAGTTCCGTTTCTAAATACTCTATTACCAGTTTATATTATTATTAGTAGTAGTTTTTTGATGGACAGGTTTTCTGTGTGTAATTTTGCCTGTCCTGGAACCCACTCTGTAGACCACGAGGCTCGCCTCGAATGCACAGAGATCCACCTGTCTCTGCCTTCCAAGTGCTGGGACTAAAGGCGTGCACTAGCACCACCCAGCTGATACCAGCTTATTATTCTGATGCGTGCGTGCGTGCGTGCGTGCGTGCGCTTCCAGGGATCAAAGTCTGCCTCATGCATGTGAGGCAAGCTCTCTAATTGACCTACAGTCCTAGCTTGGCAAGTACAGTTCTCCTAATAGAGCTAGAAAGCCTGAACTATTTAAATATACTTAGTTTTATTTTATATGCATTGGTGTTTTGTCTGCATGTATGTCTTGTGAGGATGCCAAATCCTCACATAGTTACAGTTATGTGTGGGCTGCCATGAGGGAGCTGGGATTTGAACCTGGGTTCTCTGATAGAACAGTTAATGCTCTTACCCACTGAGCCATCTCTCCAGCCCCACATAAACTATTTTAACAAGAGTTTCTCCAGAGAGATTCAGAACGCAACGCACAGAACCCAGTAAAGAAAGACTGACAGAAATCACAAGTAAGCTGGTGGTTACTTAGTATTAGCAACAAACTTTGGAAAAGGGTGTGCACGTGGACCGATGTCAAGAAATGCTTTCTCTAGCAGGAAGAACACAAGTGATTCAGATATACAGGAAATGCTCTACAATCTCCATGTTGACTAGTGATGCTTAAAGAACAAATAAGGCAAAGTCCACCTCATTTAGTTCTTTAATATATGAACTAATGGAAAATAACCTGAAATCCTAATTAGTGGCAGCTGACTAAGAATCTGTAACACAAGTTTTTGCGTTTATCTTAAATTTTTTCTCTTTTCAAGACAGGGTTTCACTGTGTAACCTTAGCTTTCCTAGACTGGCTTTGTAGGCAAGGCTGGCCTACACTCACAGAGATCCACCTGCCTCTGCCTCCCAAGCATATGCCAGCACGCCCAACTGAGTTATTTTCAAGTCAACTGTAGTAGCTAGAAAGATGGCTCAGCAGCTACAAGTACTGGCTGCTATTCCAGATGAGCTGGCACCCACATGGTAGCTTACAGCCATCTCTGAGTACAGCTGCAGGGGATCTGACACTGTCTTTTGGCCTTCTGAGGCACACGAATGTATGTGGTGGTGCGCACGCACACGCAGGCAAAGGCCTCATAGGTACAAAGTGATATAAATCTGAAAAGAAAAA